GATTTGCATATAACAAAGCAAATAATAAATAAGGTTGAATTCTGCTTTAAGCTATTCTCAACTGGAATTCTATATTTTTCACAAAAATAATATTGCATTCATTGAGTCTTACTGCTTAAAACTACAGCTTTGTATCTAATGTGTTTGATTCAGAAGTGTTGCTTGGCTCTGTCTCAAATGAGAGAATCACAATTTTAAATTGGGCCAGTTAGGCCATTGAGTGTAACCATTGCTCAGAGCAGGAATCTGAATTAAAGAACCTCCAAGAGATGGTTGTCTAACTTCTGCTTCAACAGTAATGGTGAGCACACCAACCCATCTATTTGGGTAATTGTTTCACTGTTGAACTCTTTTTGTGATGAGAATGTTAAATTCAGATTCATTCAGAATCTGCCTTCCTGTAATTTAAATCCTTCATTCTATGTCCCATACGCTGTGACAATAGAGTACAGGTCTTGACCTTTTTCTGTGTGACATCCTTTCAGGTATTTAAAGAATGCTGTCATATCTTTCTTCATCTTCTCTTTTCAAAGCTAAATGTCCACAGCTGCTTTGATCTTCATAGGACATTGTTTTTAGTTCTCTAATCTTCCTTATTGTCTTTCTCTAAACTGGTTACTTCTAAACAGTGGTTACAAGAACTGGTCACAAACTTAGTAATGCTGCATAAGTGGACTTAATACTTGCTGTAGTTTGGAAATGATGTTTGTTTCTTTTGTGGTTTCTGTAGTCATGTCACATTGCTGATTAAAATTCATTTTTCAGTCAATTACTATTCCAAGAAACTTTAGCTATAAACTGTTATCAAGCCAAGTATTTTCTATCTAATATCTGTGCATTTTCTAACTTCCTAAATAAAGAACTTTGCACTTGTCTGTATTAAATTTCATTCCTTACAATTCTCTAATCCTTCAAGATCATTTATAATTTTATTTCTTTTTCTGGGACATTAACTATTTCAATTAATTTTGTGATTCAGCAAATTTGATAAATATTCCTGCAATCTCTTTATCCAATTCTTCGGGATTTGGCGGCCTATAAATCTATTAAATACAATACAATTAAATACAATTCTTACTGAAGAATGGGACTAAACTTTTCAGTGTCTCACTTGATATCTCACTGTAATATGCTGAAGAACCATTGACAGACACTTTTTGAATATAGTTTTTGAATTTGGAATCCACTAAATTATTATGCCATTTTGTCTATAGCTTTCCCAAAATATAAGAACTTTTTTTTTTATTAGAAAAAGAGTTAAGATTAGGCTGGCAATAATAATCAATGCTGATTACTACTGCATTGTTATCAAGGCACCTAACAGAACAAATCTTTTTTATGCTTTCCTTTAATATCTTCCCAAGTATTGGTATCAGATTGATTAGCAGTGATGTCATCAATAAGCATTATTTACAGATAACATAAAAGTTGGGCTAGTCTATCAATAAATTCCTTCAAAACCCTTGAGTCAAGTTATCTAGTCTCTTATATTCAGATTCACTTCAAAAAATAGATTATCCAATGCTTTATCTGTATCAGTCATGCACATAGTCCTACCCTTCATTACCTTCTTCATAGTTTCCTGATGGAACACATCTTTTTGTTATTGTTTTGCCACTTTCATTGAGCAACGAATTTTTCTTTTATTGTCTTAGTTAAAGAAATCTAATGAAGCCCTTTCTATATCTCATCCATTATAAATTTTAACTCGTTCTGGTCTTTAGGTTTCCTGATTCCTTCTCTACAATTCCAGCCTGTCTCTTTGTACATTTCCTGCATCTTCTTTGTTTTCATATCCTCACTAAATTATTTGTGCAGTTTCTTTTCTGCTATTCCAGAATTGTATTTTGTGTGTGTGTATGTGTGTGTTTGAAATTCCCATACATCTTGAACTCCTTTTCTCTACAGATTATCTTCCAATGGAATGAGATTTGTCATTGCTCTCAATTTGTTAAAAATTGCTTATTTGAAATCCATAACATACATTTAACTGTCCCATCATTTATTTTAAAAGATTTATAACAAAATCATTGGCAATGTTGTAGAGGTAGTGGAAATGTTAAAAGAATTGTTACTATAATGCTAGAAATTTATTCCATCAGAAGAATAAATCTGTGAAAGTGTGGATCCAGAAGACCAAAATTCAGAATAGTTAAATGTTACCTGTCTGTCATAACAAATGGTCTTATAATCTTTAAGTTTCAAAAGACTGTTGTTTTCACTTCAAGATTGGTATTGTCCCCTGCCCATGGAAACTTTCTGTCATAAATCACTAGTAGGGATTTTTTTTTCAGTTCAGTTACCATGTTTTCCCAGAATTTTTTACAACGGTAGCCATCATTTAGGCAGAATGGTTGTGGACTTCATTAGTCTAAAACTTTGACAATGTTTTCCTGAGGAACTAGGTCCTTGAGAGGATATTAGCTAGAGGCAATGACTGTTTATATCCATAGAGAAGCCAGTTTTAATGTTCTCTTCTCTTAAATTGATAGTCATCTGGGTAAAATCTAGCAGAGAGTGCCAAGAGAAATAGCAGTCATGTATTATGTCTTTTGTGACTGAGGAGTATACAGTGTTAAAAATACATTTCCACAACCTCATTGTTTACATTTGGCTTTTAATGAGACTGTTGATTGATGACTCTAGCATCACATGATGGGCAAGAACAAAGCATGAATTTGTCAAATACAAAACTAATGAGAAGAGATCCTTGATTAAATAATAGTATAACAATTCAACACACCTGTTTGAGCCACCCTTTGCATTTTTTTTTCTTCCTTGCCCGAGGAGGAGACTTCTCAATGGATTACAGTAACACTTTTTGACAAGCTTATAAAGGGTGGAGTTCCTATGTACTGCCAGGATCCATTTGGCAATACCTAGATAATGCATTCTTATTTTTGCTGTCAAAATTTATTACTGTAAAAGCATTGACTGTTACACAGCTGGCTTAACTTGTTCTCATTTTTAAGTTAATTAACAGAAGGGCTAACATAGTGTTTATTTTTCTTGTTATGCAACATTTGACCATTATGGCTTTAGGAAAGTTTCATGAAAAATATCCTGCATTCCTTGGGGGGGGGGGGGGGGGGGGAGCTCTGTTTGCAAGACTTTGCTGAAAATTTCTATTCACTTTAACTGCCTCAGTTAATATTTCATTCTTTTGGGTGAAAATCTTGGT